ATATTAATACTTAGAAACTGTAGACATGTTAATGTATGTTGAAACTTCGCAATGCATTTGCAATAATTACTGTTTATATAAAATTAATTACTTATATCGATCTTATTAATAACTATATTATACCTATTAAGTTACGTATAAACTTTCGAACAAATATCAGTAACTGTTACATCAAAGCGTTATCTACAGATATATATTCTGTGTGTAAAGTAAATTAATAATAGTTTATTTTACAAAAACATAATGAAGAAGCTATCTTAAGAAGCTTTAATTTCTTTATTTTAGCGTACAAAACAGTAGCTTTAAGATTTTTCATTTTAACATTATAAAAATAGGAGCACTTAGGTTAGAACGTATATTAAACAAAGAAAAGAAAGATAATTAGCAATTATGGATAATGGAAATTGAACAAATCGATGGCGAGCGAAGAAATTAAAAACTTCAAATTGACATTTGCTGCTCTGAAACAAAGAAATAAAACGTTTTCAAACAGAACATGTTCGTCGTGTTCTTTCAAAGTAATGATAAACATGATTTATTGCCTAAGGACTTATATTTTTCGAAAGAAAAGAAAAATAATCAATAACACAGACAATCTTTTAAGTAATTTACTAAAAGTATATATTAACAAATCTTAACGATAAAATTTATACGACTACATATATTAAACCATAAATTAAATTTGCTTGTAAATGATATTTTATGTTAAAAGCTCAAAACCTCTAAAGGGGCTTACAAACAATATGATTTGCACTGTTTTGCATTATAAACTCATTAAAACTTGCCAGACTTGGGGGACAAAACTGTTTAATGGGTTTGCAATTGTGCAACTATATCACAATTAATTGGAAAATATATAGACATCCCAAAATTAGATGAATATATTTCAGAACATATTTGAAAGTAAAACGTTCGATTAATAATCAACATTTTATTATCTCAGATGTATAATTCATATCATTCATATGATTAATGGAACTTGTTATATGAAAATATGCGTAAAGTTAACTACAGTAATTATTCTGAATGAGGAAACTAATATCTATGCAGAGTTTCAAATATTCAAAATTGCCAATGTATGCGCTATTGTCTATCTGCAAACTTCGAGTTAGTTAACGTGAATTTCTGCTCCAGGACTTAGCGGATTACATATATATTGAAGAATTTACGAAAGAATTTTGGTATATGAAAGAAATCAATGAATAATACAGATTTCTTAGGTGAAAAAGTAGGAAAAAATATTCAATGTGCGGTATAAACATGTGAAAACTTGAATTAATGTTCCTTTCGTGTTTATACTAAACTCGCCGATTCGTATCGATCGAGAGAACTTTAAAGAAAAATCAAATACTTTTCCAGGTTAAATAAATAATTTATTCGTGTTTATTCTTTTTGAAATATAAATTCATAAGAATTTAATGGATTTGTTATTTTGTAATGTACAAAAGAAGAGATAATGTTCTTAATAGTTAATTCCACCCAAAATATAGATAGGTTGGAAAGACTTTACGAGCTAAACTGTGTTTATTGAATATATTCGGTATTTACCTGATGATGAATACATTCAGACTGTAGAAATTATTGGACTTTGTGAAGTGAAAAGTTAGAAAGTACTATGAAAAATGTAGGAAATTTATTATACTTTATAACAAAATTATAAGTAAATAAATAGAGGAAAAATAATGTATCTTTTGTTAGAATATTCAAATGCAGGAGCTTGTTTAATGGCTTGTTCCTTGGACTGTTTATTGAAAGAATTACAATAAATAATAAATTATTTATTATTTACTTTTAACATGCAAATGACAATTCACGAGTTAAATATTTTACCCATGAAATTACATTGTTTAAGTATGTAAATAAGTACATTTTTATGGGATATTAGCTTTTAATTAATACTTCACATCAGTGTGTTTGCTACACCAATATAATATCGTTACTTCCCAAAAATAATTGCTTAATTTTGCGTAAATAAAAATAATCTATTGTATGTTCTCGGTATCTATTTTAACTTACATTTGATTTAATCCTCCATTGAAGTGGAAGAATATTAGGGATACAAAAATTTCAGATTAATAAACTATGTAATTTTTATATGATTTCTTGTCTGATAAATGTAAAATTATTATTTTAACTCAATCATAATGACTAGAACTAGGAACTAGAAAACTGAGACACACGAAAGCTATTTGATATAAACATCTTTGGCATTGCGCGAATTTCAAACATGATTAAAATATCCATAGAAATGGCAATTTGTTTATGTAAACACAATTTACGAAAGCTTGTTGTTATGGCAATACTTTACTGTTTTAACTTTATGTATAACTCCAAATGTCGAACAGATTAACATCTGGCGAATTGTGGAGCTAAGGAAGGAGAACGAGATCATTTGTGGTTTCGGGATTATCCTTACTTAACTGAAAAAAAAAACGATATACTATATTGGTTCAATTGTAGTCGTTAAGATATGTAATTTAATTCGTTTAGGACGTAAACAGAAAGGTTTTGTCAAGTGCTTAAGACCAACTATGATGATTTGCTCGATATACTGTATAAGAAATGTTATCGTATATAGCAGTGTTTCTCAACCTCTAACGAATCGTCGCCCCTTCAACGTAGTATCGCCCCCTTCAATAAAACCGTTACGTAATATCGCTCCCTTCACTACAAAATTCCGATGCCGAGGGACAAGGCTAACGCCAAATGCGTACTGCATTGAATAGACTAGTGATTAGTATAATGTTATTTGTTTAATTATTGTACGATATAACGAATAAAATATCTAATTATTATTAATATAATGTTTTACTATATCGCCCAGAAAATTGTTTTTCTCCCCCCCAAAAAAATATAAATTGTTACTAATCGCCCCCTCAACATGGAAAAACGCCCACATGAGGGCGATATCGCCCCCGTTGAGAAACACTGGTATATAGTGTATAGTATAAACATTGTTTGTTATATGGAGAGAATGTGGCGATATTCATTGCCATCGGCAATGTACGGTACGTATTCATATTCTGTTTACGTATTATAAATAAATACATACTGTATTTGTTTACAATACAGTATATACAATACAATAAATCAACTATATCGGATATAGTTGATTTATACATAAATAAATGCTACTATGTAAACATTGCAAAAAGATATTCTACATAATTTTCGAATTTTCGTTCATACTATAATTCTTCCAAAAAATTTGAAAAGTAACTCAGGGTTTTTTCTAATTATAGAGTATGTTGCATATATAAAGTTGGATTTTTTGGCATTTAACGAGTCCGATGCATATTTATTGAAGATCGGTTCATATTATATCGTAATAATCTGTTGCATAACATTGCTCATGATGCTCAATATAGAAATTTACTTATTTTTCTCTTTAGTTGTCTACTAACGAGTAAGTTTCGCATTTTAATGTATTTCCAACTAAATGTATTTATTACGATTATTTTAATAGCTTGATACATTGCCGAGCTTTTAACGTTTAAAACAAACTAATGAAATAAAACTAATTATGCTCTAAATTACATATAGTCTATATTAGTGGTCCCCAACCCCGGGCCGCGGACCGGTACCGGTCTGTGGATCAAATGGTACCGGGCCGCCCAAGGAACATTAAATTACTGGTATTTCCATTCTATTTACTATGGTATATTTCTCTGGGATTTGTGCGACTTTTAATGGACGACGGAACAACGGTATAAACTGGACATAAGAAACACACTTCGGGTGTCATTGTCTCCTATTATCCCCAGATGGAACCGTCTTGTTGCAAAAAAACAAGCTCAGGGTTCTCATTGATTTAGCGTTCTAGTGAGTTAAAATGTTAAATCACATTATGTTCATTTTTTGGTGTAACTGTATTTTATTTTAAAGGCGTGTTTAAATACAATTAAATTAAAATTATTAAATTAAATCAATCTAAAATATAAACAATCAACGTCCCCCCTCAGTGGGCCGCAGTAAAATATCAAACGTTGACCGGTCCGCTATAAAATAGTTCGCTATAAAATAATCCGCGGCGATAAAAAGGTTGGGGACAGCTGGTCTGTATGATTCAGATACAATAAAAATAAAAATCGTAATATAACCGACAGCTAAAAATTAGGTTTAATCCAATGAAAATTTCGAGAAATAGAATTAGTAACGTAACCAGGGAGGGGACTTACGGGACCTGGGGCCATATTCTGGTCACTGTCTCTGGTCTCGCGTCTCTTGCAAGCCGGTCGCTGATTGGCTAATCCAAATGATTAGCCAATCAGCGACCTGCTTGCGAGAGACGAGAGACCAGAGACAGTGACCAGAATACGGCCCCTGCTCCACCTTACTCGAGAGATAAAACAAGTAGCGTAACTAGGAAGGGAGCTTTGTAAGTAAATAAATTAAGAAGTCAAATAAGTACAGGAAAAAATTTAATGTGACAAATGCACTTATACACACTATATAAAATATCTAAGACTTTACTCTTCATTCACTGCATTAGTATTTACATCCATAGTGGTACAGGGATGAATGCAGATTTTCTCCACTCCCAGTATCGGTTCTAGTTGCACTATCATATAGACTAGAAAATTAAGTTACAATCAGTTTACACGAATTATTTTATATTTCGTAAAAACTGATTTCGTTTTATCTAATTTTGAACATTTCAGATGATTATGTGTTATAATATTAATAAATTTGTTTTTTAAATATTACCAATTAATAGTTCGTTACGTTAAGTATTAAATATAAATATACTAAGAACAGGAAGAAAATTGCTTAGCGTGACAATAAGTTTTCGAAAATTTTACTTAAAAGGGGGGAAAAAAGACAATTACCTCGCTATTTAATTGATCATCATGAGCACAAAAAGAAAGTTTTAAACTTTAAATGGGAACTGGAAATTTCCACGTAATTATTTTCATTTTTTATCTTAGAAAAAGTTTTGATATGTCATTATAATTCAAAAAGTAAGAACTTTTATTAAAATATTATCGATATTTTTCTAGAACAACCGAAGTCAATTACTTACAAAAGTCGCAATTAAGAAGAAAAAAATGTTTTGGAATTAAAAAGCGTTATGTTATATGCCAAGAAAAGGTAATTTCAAATATTTTAAAATTATTAATTTTCGTACTTTATAACGTTTCCATATAAATTATCAAATAAATTCATTTTCTACAGGATTGCCCAGATCCTAAGGATTATCGTGCTCAACAATGTTCTTATTTTGATACGAAAATATATCAAGATCAGTATTACAAATGGATTCCTTATCTTAAGAGTGAGTTTGGAGGAACAGTGAATAATAAATAATGTTAATAAACTAACAAAATAACTTATTGTTTAAATTTGTTACTTTATTAAACATAATATATATACAAACTGTTTACTTTTCAGTAAAATGCAAGTAATTGACTATTAGATACTTATAAAACATTAAAAGTTTAATTACGATTAGTGTAGTAAATTGCTTCGGGTCTTTTGTGGATTATTTTGATATAAATTTATCAAAAGTTTTAATGTAAATTTAAATGAAATTTAGAAAAAGAAATATATTTCAACATGTATAAATTAGTATAAATGTAAATTTTAATGAAAATGTTTTTAGTTTTTCTTATTTTTATATTGCAAAACTAATTTCTAAAATTAAAAATAGTCTAGATCAGAGATGAAGAAATTGCGGCCTTTAGGACGTTGTCGCCCATTCTTTGCTCTTTTACTTTTTAGATAAATTAATTAAATTTTAATTTTAAAAATGTCTTATGAGCTATAGTATGATATTTTAAATTATATTTTTAGTCATTTTGCTTTATTATTTATTACAAGCTCTTAGCTCTTATGTTAAATGTATAACTTAACTTATGCAGCACACACCTATATAACACGCATCCTTATCAGATCACTCTTAAACGGGGTGCGGCCTTCCGATTAAAATGGTTTCCTATTATTGATTTAGATATTAATTTATGTATTAATTATGATAAATTTAGTAAAAGATACAAACAAAATAATTTTATAGCTGTAAATGAAATAATAAAGGTTGTTTTTTTTTGATGGGCTACGCAAACGTTACAAAGGGCGATCTACTTATGGGGGTATTTCCAAGGGAGACTTTCTATGGAAAATGACCCTATTTAGTTGACAGGTGACAAAAATTCGGGAAACTTCACGTGGCCAGCTCGTTGTTGGACGCGAACCCATGACGATTACCAATCAGTGTTCGGTAGTTTTATCTACTCGGCCATAGTGTATTAAAAGTATTATATTTAAGAGAAATCTTGTTTAAAAAAATTATTTATGATTAACATTAATAGCTTAGTTCTAATAAGTTTTTTTTTTTTAATTTTAGCACCCGAAGATTGTCAATTAAATTGTCGTCCGACTAATAAAAACTTTTTCGTGACATTTTTGAATAAAGTCGAAGACGGAACATCTTGCTCGGGAAATAATTTCGAGGACAAGATCTGCGTGGACGGACAATGTAAGGTAATATTTCTAAACCTTTATTAAGTGGTGAATACCAATTAAAAAATTGGATAAATCACTGTATAAATATGTAAATTCAATTGCTCTTAATCAATTCTGGTATATTGAAATCATTTCAAAACAAAATTAATTTAAAGTTTTATTATAATTTTGTGAAATTCAGTGTTTCATAATTCTTATATATTGATATATATATATATATAGAAATTGCTAAAAGTCAGATAATTCAGATGCATTTTAAGACGATTTTAAGAACAGCTGACTCGGTTAACTGACTTTTGGGATATTCTGCAAATTAGCCTATTCATGTATAAAATGAAGATTTAAAAACCACAATATGATTTGGATAAGTAATCGATAAAATTAGGATTCAATTATAAAATTTTCATCCCTCTACTAGAAGTGCGAATGCATTAATGTATTTACTGCTGTAGAAATTTCTTAATCTAGAAAGAATTCCAATTATTATGGAGTTCATTAAAATTTTATTATTACTTTTGTTAAGATTTGCAAATATTGCAAAAGACTCTACAGTCGTTTTTTCCTTAAACTATTACACCATAATATTAATTGCTATTGTTTAAATTAAATTTGATTTAACTACAAACAATTGCTTTCTGTTTGAATTTACTATTTATTTATTTGCAAAATTTATTGTAAATATAAATTCGGATTAAAATAATATCTGTTTTGCACTAAAATTGCATATTGTATTTATGAAGAAACAACCTTATGTGTTTTTCTAATAATTCTCTTCTGTTTAAATTTGCAATTAATTTAACTATAGAAGCTTCAGATGTCAAGAGGAAAAGTAGATAAAACCACAGAATACTGGTTGCGGGTTCGCGCCTGACTGACGTCTGGCCACGTGGAGTTTTCCGGGTTTTTGTAACGTGTGTATCACCTAAATAGGGCTCAGTTTCCCGTAGAAATTCCTTCCGGGAGGCATCTCCTAGGCAGATCTATGCAGAGGCCCTAAATAGACATTAGAAACAATAAAAAGTAGCAACATAGACTTGCATTGCACTACAAAATTATATTCTATAATTTATATCGATTATATTTGTATAAAATGAAATGAGGTTATTTAAAATTATGTAACATCTGTAATGTACGATTAAATTACATTATTTTTTCTAACAGGACAAGAATTGTTATATTCACAACTATTATGACATAATGACACGTATAATAGCTTTATCATAATATATTTTTTAATAGTTTATTTTTTATAAATTTATTAATACTTTTTTATTGAAAAGTTATTTTAGAAGAAATAATAATTCGTAACTTTGGGTAAATTTCCTAAAATTATTAAAGTGTAATGGCGAGTGTTTCGGTAATTTGCCTTTCGTTCGTTACAACACGGATTATAAACTACGTTTGAACATTGCAGTGTAATAATGTTTATTTAACTTAATGAACTTCTGTAATCAATTCGTTCTAAATGATCTATAATTTGTTTTTTTAAGTGTGAAATGATTGCTGTTTGTTTTAAAAGTTATCACGATGTTACGCCAGAGGCAATCGAAGCGATTTTCTCTAATCAAAACGATTATGTTTGAGTGAGTACATGAAAATTAAATTAATTAACGCTAGATTAGAAGTTTAAAGAATAGTTGTCGAATTGTAGGAAAGTTCACATCAACCGCCGAGCTAATTTGATAATCAAACTATTGTGACGATTCACTACAATCCTTCGTTCTTTGATTCAATCATTGACAATGTTTATCAGGAACTATAAATAGCAACAGTCACCAATAGATATAAAGGAAGAGGTGAATGTCCGTATTCTCCATTAGTTTTCATTCAAACTTCCCTTAGAATTAAAGTCAATGTCACCCTCTTAAGTTACTATAAACAATATTTCAATTAAAGTTTTGAATTTCGAATCTTTTTCCAAGTAAATTTCTTTTTGAAATTTTATAAACATTTTTTTAATTCTCAAAACAAAACTTTGAGAATGTTCAATACACGTATGTTGTGTGCTGTGTTGTGTGTTTCGTGTGTGTAGAATGTAAATAATAAAATTTAATAATAAAAAACGATAACTTTTTTTTACTCGATTTAGAAAAACGATAGAAAATATTAAGTAACGAATATGTCGTAAACAATTTTAGTTTTTTGCATATTTTATGATTCGTCTAACTATATTAAAATTTATATTAAAAGGTTTCTCAATAAGTTTGGGGAATATTATATAGATATCCGCGATACTTAATTAAGATGCACACTAACTAAAAAATCAGATGACAGATTCAAAATAATCTCTTTGAGAAAATGATGGCTTTTGACATTACATCTTCATCTTTTCCCACCTGATTTACTTAAAACTAATCTAAAATTCTAAATATTATTTAGTTTATTCTCGTGGAACGACGTCGGCTAAATTAAATTATCTCGCTTCTGAAATGTTGAAAGAATTTTGATATCTTTCTTAAGGTGAGCAGTTCTTATTCAATCAACCATTATTCGCTTATATTATATCAAAACTTTTGCACCTCTCAATCCTCTATGGTTCAATGTATCAATAATCCTCTGTTCTTTCACTGTTGATAAACGTTATGGACAAGAGGAAACTTTATTACGAGTATTTTCATCCTTTTACCCGATGTCTCTTTCTTCATACCATTTACAGCTTAGTAAAAGAAAATTTCAATTTCCTACTGTATAGATAATCTACTTTTCTTTTCAACAGAATAGAAAAAAAAAAGAGGCAGAAAACAATATTTTACCTGAAAACATAAATTGAAAATATCAGATTTCTATTTTATCGAAGATTTTCTTTTTTATTGACCTACATACTTCACGGCTAAATAAAAAAAAAATCATTAAATTCGAATACATTTTAAATAGTAATGAGAAACTTTTAAATTACATTTTATTATTATATTAATCTCAGTTTAAAAAATACTTAAAAATTATTTATTTTCAAGTATTTTAAACATAAATGCATTTTTTTTAAAGTCTTGTTTCAAGTTACCTTTTGTTTTTCGCCAATTTTTTTCTTTTCGAATGGGAAATTCAGATTTCTTTGTATATTGTCATCTCTTATAAAACTTAATTTATTAGTTTTTGTCTTTCCCATTTGTTTCGGATGATAACATAAGACAGACGGTATCCAATGTCTGACGCNTGACCAGAATTAGGCCCCTGCTCCACCTTACTCGAGAGATAAAACAAGTAGCGTAACTAGGAAGGGAGCTTTGTAAGTAAATAAATTAAGAAGTCAAATAAGTACAGGAAAAAATTTAATGTGACAAATGCACTTATACACACTATATAAAATATCTAAGACTTTACTCTTCATTCACTGCATTAGTATTTACATCCATAGTGGTACAGGGATGAATGCAGATTTTCTCCACTCCCAGTATCGGTTCTAGTTGCACTATCATATAGACTAGAAAATTAAGTTACAATCAGTTTACACGAATTATTTTATATTTCGTAAAAACTGATTTCGTTTTATCTAATTTTGAACATTTCAGATGATTATGTGTTATAATATTAATAAATTTGTTTTTTAAATATTACCAATTAATAGTTCGTTACGTTAAGTATTAAATATAAATATACTAAGAACAGGAAGAAAATTGCTTAGCGTGACAATAAGTTTTCGAAAATTTTACTTAAAAGGGGGGAAAAAAGACAATTACCTCGCTATTTAATTGATCATCATGAGCACAAAAAGAAAGTTTTAAACTTTAAATGGGAACTGGAAATTTCCACGTAATTATTTTCATTTTTTATCTTAGAAAAAGTTTTGATATGTCATTATAATTCAAAAAGTAAGAACTTTTATTAAAATATTATCGATATTTTTCTAGAACAACCGAAGTCAATTACTTACAAAAGTCGCAATTAAGAAGAAAAAAATGTTTTGGAATTAAAAAGCGTTATGTTGTATGCCAAGAAAAGGTAATTTCAAATATTTTAAAATTATTAATTTTCGTACTTTATAACGTTTCCATATAAATTATCAAATAAATTCATTTTCTACAGGATTGCCCAGATCCTAAGGATTATCGTGCTCAACAATGTTCTTATTTTGATACGAAAATATATCAAGATCAGTATTACAAATGGATTCCTTATCTTAAGAGTGAGTTTGGAGGAACAGTGAATAATAAATAATGTTAATAAACTAACAAAATAACTTATTGTTTAAATTTGTTACTTTATTAAACATAATATATATACAAACTGTTTACTTTTCAGTAAAATGCAAGTAATTGACTATTAGATACTTATAAAACATTAAAAGTTTAATTACGATTAGTGTAGTAAATTGCTTCGGGTCTTTTGTGGATTATTTTGATATAAATTTATCAAAAGTTTTAATGTAAATTTAAATGAAATTTAGAAAAAGAAATATATTTCAACATGTATAAATTAGTATAAATGTAAATTTTAATGAAAATGTTTTTAGTTTTTCTTATTTTTATATTGCAAAACTAATTTCTAAAATTAAAAATAGTCTAGATCAGAGATGAAGAAATTGCGGCCTTTAGGACGTTGTCGCCCATTCTTTGCTCTTTTACTTTTTAGATAAATTAATTAAATTTTAATTTTAAAAATGTCTTATGAGCTATAGTATGATATTTTAAATTATATTTTTAGTCATTTTGCTTTATTATTTATTACAAGCTCTTAGCTCTTATGTTAAATGTATAACTTAACTTATGCAGCACACACCTATATAACACGCATCCTTATCAGATCACTCTTAAACGGGGTGCGGCCTTCCGATTAAAATGGTTTCCTATTATTGATTTAGATATTAATTTATGTATTAATTATGATAAATTTAGTAAAAGATACAAACAAAATAATTTTATAGCTGTAAATGAAATAATAAAGGTTGTTTTTTTTTGATGGGCTACGCAAACGTTACAAAGGGCGATCTACTTATGGGGGTATTTCCAAGGGAGACTTTCTATGGAAAATGACCCTATTTAGTTGACAGGTGACAAAAATTCGGGAAACTTCACGTGGCCAGCTCGTTGTTGGACGCGAACCCATGACGATTACCAATCAGTGTTCGGTAGTTTTATCTACTCGGCCATAGTGTATTAAAAGTATTATATTTAAGAGAAATCTTGTTTAAAAAAATTATTTATGATTAACATTAATAGCTTAGTTCTAATAAGTTTTTTTTTTTTAATTTTAGCACCCGAAGATTGTCAATTAAATTGTCGTCCGACTAATAAAAACTTTTTCGTGACATTTTTGAATAAAGTCGAAGACGGAACATCTTGCTCGGGAAATAATTTCGAGGACAAGATCTGCGTGGACGGACAATGTAAGGTAATATTTCTAAACCTTTATTAAGTGGTGAATACCAATTAAAAAATTGGATAAATCACTGTATAAATATGTAAATTCAATTGCTCTTAATCAATTCTGGTATATTGAAATCATTTCAAAACAAAATTAATTTAAAGTTTTATTATAATTTTGTGAAATTCAGTGTTTCATAATTCTTATATATTGATATATATATATATATAGAAATTGCTAAAAGTCAGATAATTCAGATGCATTTTAAGACGATTTTAAGAACAGCTGACTCGGTTAACTGACTTTTGGGATATTCTGCAAATTAGCCTATTCATGTATAAAATGAAGATTTAAAAACCACAATATGATTTGGATAAGTAATCGATAAAATTAGGATTCAATTATAAAATTTTCATCCCTCTACTAGAAGTGCGAATGCATTAATGTATTTACTGCTGTAGAAATTTCTTAATCTAGAAAGAATTCCAATTATTATGGAGTTCATTAAAATTTTATTATTACTTTTGTTAAGATTTGCAAATATTGCAAAAGACTCTACAGTCGTTTTTTCCTTAAACTATTACACCATAATATTAATTGCTATTGTTTAAATTAAATTTGATTTAACTACAAACAATTGCTTTCTGTTTGAATTTACTATTTATTTATTTGCAAAATTTATTGTAAATATAAATTCGGATTAAAATAATATCTGTTTTGCACTAAAATTGCATATTGTATTTATGAAGAAACAACCTTATGTGTTTTTCTAATAATTCTCTTCTGTTTAAATTTGCAATTAATTTAACTATAGAAGCTTCAGATGTCAAGAGGAAAAGTAGATAAAACCACAGAATACTGGTTGCGGGTTCGCGCCTGACTGACGTCTGGCCACGTGGAGTTTTCCGGGTTTTTGTAACGTGTGTATCACCTAAATAGGGCTCAGTTTCCCGTAGAAATTCCTTCCGGGAGGCATCTCCTAGGCAGATCTATGCAGAGGCCCTAAATAGACATTAGAAACAATAAAAAGTAGCAACATAGACTTGCATTGCACTACAAAATTATATTCTATAATTTATATCGATTATATTTGTATAAAATGAAATGAGGTTATTTAAAATTATGTAACATCTGTAATGTACGATTAAATTACATTATTTTTTCTAACAGGACAAGAATTGTTATATTCACAACTATTATGACATAATGACACGTATAATAGCTTTATCATAATATATTTTTGAATAGTTTATTTTTTATAAATTTATTAATACTTTTTTATTGAAAAGTTATTTTAGAAGAAATAATAATTCGTAACTTTGGGTAAATTTCCTAAAATTATTAAAGTGTAATGGCGAGTGTTTCGGTAATTTGCCTTTCGTTCGTTACAACACGGATTATAAACTACGTTTGAACATTGCAGTGTAATAATGTTTATTTAACTTAATGAACTTCTGTAATCAATTCGTTCTAAATGATCTATAATTTGTTTTTTTAAGTGTGAAATGATTGCTGTTTGTTTTAAAAGTTATCACGATGTTACGCCAGAGGCAATCGAAGCGATTTTCTCTAATCAAAACGATTATGTTTGAGTGAGTACATGAAAATTAAATTAATTAACGCTAGATTAGAAGTTTAAAGAATAGTTGTCGAATTGTAGGAAAGTTCACATCAACCGCCGAGCTAATTTGATAATCAAACTATTGTGACGATTCACTACAATCCTTCGTTCTTTGATTCAATCATTGACAATGTTTATCAGGAACTATAAATAGCAACAGTCACCAATAGATATAAAGGAAGAGGTGAATGTCCGTATTCTCCATTAGTTTTCATTCAAACTTCCCTTAGAATTAAAGTCAATGTCACCCTCTTAAGTTACTATAAACAATATTTCAATTAAAGTTTTGAATTTCGAATCTTTTTCCAAGTAAATTTCTTTTTGAAATTTTATAAACATTTTTTTAATTCTCAAAACAAAACTTTGAGAATGTTCAATACACGTATGTTGTGTGCTGTGTTGTGTGTTTCGTGTGTGTAGAATGTAAATAATAAAATTTAATAATAAAAAACGATAACTTTTTTTTACTCGATTTAGAAAAACGATAGAAAATATTAAGTAACGAATATGTCGTAAACAATTTTAGTTTTTTGCATATTTTATGATTCGTCTAACTATATTAAAATTTATATTAAAAGGTTTCTCAATAAGTTTGGGGAATATTATATAGATATCCGCGATACTTAATTAAGATGCACACTAACTAAAAAATCAGATGACAGATTCAAAATAATCTCTTTGAGAAAATGATGGCTTTTGACATTACATCTTCATCTTTTCCCACCTGATTTACTTAAAACTAATCTAAAATTCTAAATATTATTTAGTTTATTCTCGTGGAACGACGTCGGCTAAATTAAATTATCTCGCTTCTGAAATGTTGAAAGAATTTTGATATCTTTCTTAAGGTGAGCAGTTCTTATTCAATCAACCATTATTCGCTTATATTATATCAAAACTTTTGCACCTCTCAATCCTCTATGGTTCAATGTATCAATAATCCTCTGTTCTTTCACTGTTGATAAACGTTATGGACAAGAGGAAACTTTATTACGAGTATTTTCATCCTTTTACCCGATGTCTCTTTCTTCATACCATTTACAGCTTAGTAAAAGAAAATTTCAATTTCCTACTGTATAGATAATCTACTTTTCTTTTCAACAGAATAGAAAAAAAAGAGGCAGAAAACAATATTTTACCTGAAAACATAAATTGAAAATATCAGATTTCTATTTTATCGAAGATTTTCTTTTTTATTGACCTACATACTTCACGGCTAAATAAAAAAAAAATCATTAAATTCGAATACATTTTAAATAGTAATGAGAAACTTTTAAATTACATTTTATTATTATATTAATCTCAGTTTAAAAAATACTTAAAAATTATTTATTTTCAAGTATTTTAAACATAAATGCATTTTTTTTAAAGTCTTGTTTCAAGTTACCTTTTGTTTTTCGCCAATTTTTTTTCTTTTCGAATGGGAAATTCAGATTTCTTTGTATATTGTCATCTCTTATAAAACTTAATTTATTAGTTTTTGTCTTTCCCATTTGTTTCGGATGATAACATAAGACAGACGGTATCCAATGTCTGACGCGACACTTCAAGCAGATAAGAGGTCGACATTAAACCACTCGGTCTCTTATCATGGATGAAGTAGACAAGGGCGTTTCCTGTCTCCTATTTCGATGATCCCGTCTTACCCATGTGCACATTTACATGCCCTATATACTAATATTCGAAATATAAAATGTCATTTTGTTGTTCCTGTATTTACTATTAAGTCAACGATTAAATATTCCGTTTTTCTTAGAAGTTTAAAGCATTAATTTCCGTTGTTAAAATTATTGTAAAAAATATAATTTATATTATAAAACATATTTATAAGCTGTATACGTAATTTGCTGCATACGGAAGCATATTAATTATACATAACTTACTATAAAAATGGGAAGTTGTGATTATATTTTTTTTCTTAAAGTATAAATATATTTAAGTGCTCGATATAGTTTTATGAATGAAGTGTTTACTATTTATGGCAACAATAAAATTTAATATTATCCCGCTGGAAACTTGTGGATTGTAAGGTTAAATTTAATCTCTAGAAAGTATGAACTTTATTTTCAAAGCTTTTAAAAGCAGATTTCATACTTTTTTGAAGAATGTCTAAAGGCCAAACAAAAAAAGTTATTCTCTGTCCGACAGCAAACGGCACTTTAGCGATAACACTATATAAAGGTTATGACTCAATATCTATCTTTTTAAAACTTCCAGGCAAGTTTATTCCTGAATGACACGGATAATTTATTTGCTTGGAATTATGTGGATTAGTGTTTTAAAAATTTTCTATCAATTTAAAAAAAAATCTAACAATTTGTTATGAAATTTATGCCACGTGCGAAAATTTACACTATTCGTTTTATTATAATCTTTAGACGTTCTTTTTGTATTTTCTTTTTTGAATGATGTAATCAAGTCTTTTTGAAAAAAAATTACAGCATAAAGAAGGTAAATTAGCGAATGTAAATGACTAATTGTTTAAATTAATCAGACAATTTACTCAGGATTTTTCCTTCGCGAAGAACTGAAGCAAAGCAGTCGAAAGAAATTATATTTAAAATTATACTGTGGTTTTCTAATGTTTCTATAAATTAATTTTCTTGATTATCATTTTAATAAATTTCAAGTAAATACCTGTATAAACAGCAATCGCACGATATGCAAAGAAACCTGCCATAAAGGAAAAAGGATTCGTTTTTCCTTTATGGCAGGTTTCTATTTAGAAAATGTTTTATTGTATTTAAGTAGAGAAGAACGCTCATATTATTATCTAAGCTGTTATAAAATTTAAATGAGAAATTAAATTTCAATTCTTAAAATATTTTTTACAATAAAATTTATTGAAATTATTACAAACAACGTGCAAAATTCAGTGAAAATCTATGAAATTAATTGCATACTGTAGTATACTTGTCTAAAGACAAAATTGATTGTTCAGATATATCAAGTTCAAATGTTATATTAATTTAAATTTTACACGTGGGTATTCAATCACGGACAGAAACAAGCAAACGAAAGACAAAGACAACAAAACGTTTTCAGAAAAATAGGCGCAACAAGGTTAAATGAAGCAACGAATACCTGAAATAAGAAAAAGATGTAACGCATAATCAATAGAACAATGAACAGCACACAAGAAACTGAAACAGGAACAATACGCACAATGAAGACATGCGTAGGAATTAATAAAGATGTCTTGTAAATGGAAAGAGAAAAAAATCAAAGACATGAAGGCTAGGATGAGGATCTGGTCGAAACAGGATATCTATTTCTAAAGCGGGAATGTACAATTTTTATATGAAATTAAAACTTTTCTCTGCTGAGATCACAAAGACTATGAGAAATAAGCTTTGTTCAATATGTTTTATATGTGATTTTAAAATTATGTAAATATAAATATAAA